AGAGGCTGTGGGGCAGGCTGCAGGAGTGCAGTGAGTGAGGAAGAAGGAAAAAACCGGTTGCCCGGCATGATGAGTAGGGCTAGGGAGGACTAGTTTAAGGTTTGGGGATACCGGAAGCAAAGGTGAAGCAGTTGCCATGTGAGTGTCTTCTGGCAGCATCAAGGAGAATGGGTCACCTCGAAGGGAAAGCACAGAGGGCAACAGGAGGTGGTGTGAGGAGTGGGGACCAAGCTGGCAGCACCCAACTGTTGACAACCAGCCCGGTAACACAAGTCAACTGCACAAAATGCTGAAACAGTGCCTTGAACCTAGAAAAACAGGTCCTAGTCTGCCCTGCTGCTCAGGTGCCAGAGCTTAAAAGGTCAGACATGGAGGGATTGGCAAGAGACTCATTGTGTACAATGGTGAGAAGAAAGAACACATAGGTCAAGGTGGAGAAAAAGAGCTAGAGAGATGATTCAAGTTACGAGCACTTACTGCTCTTCCGGAAGATCCGAGTTCAGTTCCCAGCACCTACATCAGGTAGCTCACAGCCTCCTGTAACTCTAGGTCCAGGGGATCTGACCCTTCTTCTGGCTTCATGTCTCTCTCAATCTCCCTCCCCTATCCCTTCCGGTTCTCCCTCTCCCCACCCCACCCCACCCCCACACACATGGGAGGGAGGGAGAGAGGGCAGGAGGAGAGAAAAAGCATTTTTAAAATGAAGTGTCGGTGGACGAGAAAAAGAAAGAACATGTGGCAGGATGGATGGACACAAGAGTGGGGTCAAGTATAGCATTTCTGACTTGCTGATCTGGGCCGCGCGTAGACATTTAGGGAGTGGGGGATCGAGGATGGTCTGTTGAGATCACTGGTGTAAAGGAACCACAAATCCCAAGAGGTCCGGGCATTGAATGGGGGCAATAAACTTAATTAGAGGACAAAGTCCATCTATCAAAGAGGTAGATGGAGCAATCAAAGTCCAATAAATTCTAGGCAGGGCAGAAAACAAGGCACTCATTGGTGATGGATGGGAGAAAGTGAACAGATTATAACCACAAGGCATGTAGAGGCATGGGTTGTGGAGCTGGGTGACGTGCCCATGATCAGGCCAGGATACAAATGTGGACAGCAATGGTCTGGTAGCTACACTTCTGGAATCCCACCTTCTGGAAGGTCGCATCTACCAGTAAAGTGGGTATACAGTATCAGCTGCCTCCTGCCTACTTTAATCTCAAGAGTGCCCTTCAGTCTTTCCTCTAGCTTCACGTAACACAAACACTGGTAGAGTATCCAGATAGGTTCCTGTAAGCTTTCCAAGAAATGTCTGGGGAATATAAAATTCATCTTAAAAGCTTTGGGAGGTGTACACAGTCACCCATATGCTCATTACAAGGTCTGAATAAATTAGTATTTCTGTTAATTTTTTAAATGTTATTTTTTGTATCATAAAGATCCTTTACTTTTGCTACAGGAAAAAAAAAAGACAGGGGAGGTCCTAGAGCCTGGCACTTACCCCAGTCTCCTATGACGGTTTCTGCTGTATACTTGTGCATAACTGGAAAAGCAGAGACTTGTGTGCCTTTTCCTTGAAGATGTAGCCATCTGGGTTATGTTTTGTAACTATCTCACATCTTCCAGTGTCTGTAACTGCTTCAACCTATGAACTCATGAAATGCAGCATTTGCATGGACAAACTTAACCCTTTCACTCCTGGGAATAGGCTTGCCAACTTCTGAAGCTGCCTTTAAAATTGACAACTCTTGTCTTCTATCTTCCCAACAGCTCCTCTGCTTTGCTAGGACTCTCTCTCTGAACAGCCCTGTTACTGCACTATCAAGCAGACACGATCCATAACTCAGGGCAAACACTTTACCTCTCTGGCTAATTTCCTCGAGGGAAGAATGGAGGATGTGGCAAGCATCTCATTAGACTATATATCAACCTATGCCCTGCTGAGAGCCTGGAACGTACCTGGTACAAGCTAAGTGCTATAGAAGAAGCCTTTGCTACTCATTTGCATACCTCCTTGCCTGGTACCATCACTGGCTAATGGGAACACTTGGTGAGTGAATTAAACCATCAAGTCAATTTTCACCTCACAGAAAAATCAAAAAGTAGATACAAAAATAACAAGTTGGTGCCCGTGAAACTGCTCAGCGGGCTAATGGCACCTGCTGCTGCCAAGCCTAACAACCTGAGTTCAACACATGGGATCCACATGGTAGGAGAGAACACTCCAAGTGTCCTCTTAGCTCCACATGCAAGCCATGGATACCATGGGCCCACACATGAACAAACAGATATAACAACAACAAAAAAACAAAAAGCCAAAACATTCCCTTATTTATAAAAGCTCATACAGTATAACCTGACATTTCAAATACATAATCTAAATTCCATAATTAATTTTTTCACTTTGCCACAGGAAAGGGCCTGACTTCCTAATGGTCTCCTATGACAATTCCATTTGAAGCTCCAGGAATCCAGGGAGGGGGAAGCTGTAACAGAATGCATCTACTTTATCTGCCACTGTCCTATAGTATGGTGATCTTTTATTTGTGCTGAAATGTGATTTCAATTGTATGTTAATAAACATAGTTGCCTGGGAGTCAGAGCTAATAGCCAGCCATTTAGCAGAAGTCTGGCAGTGGTAGCACACGTCCTTAATCCCGATCACATGACAGTCTGTGTGTTCAAGGACATAGCCAGCATGGAGACACACGCCTTTAATCCCAGTACCAACCACAGAGACCTGGAGGTCTGTATAGACAGGCAGTGACAAGGAGGTCATGTGGTTGGGTTCAGAACCAACAAGAAGGCAGAACAGAAGGGCAATAAAAAGATGGTCACATAGGAGAAGGTCTCTTTCTCGGGGGAAGGACAGCAGTGGCAGCAGGTGGTAAGAAGGTGGTCTCAGCTCTCGGCTACTGCTCTCTGACCTCTGGGCTTTCAACTCTGCATTTGGCTCTGTGTTTCTTATTTAATAAGACCGTTCAGAATTACATCTACACTATAGCAGGAGTGTCTCCAGGCTGTTGGTGACAGATGGGGAACAACTGCGCCATCTCAAAGTTTTCTAGCTATTGTGGCTATCATTCACACTGTCCACAAGGCCCACAGATGCTCAGGGTGGGGGAGACCTCCTCCTCCCCCTCCTCCTCCTCCTACAGTGGAGTGTCCTAGTCTACAGCCCTTCTCCATGCAGAAACACGTCACCCAACCCAAGGCCGGGAGAGCCGACACTGGTATATCCTGTGTCTCTATGAGCATCTGCCATTTCTAAATACGTGGATGGGCTGTCATGAACTGGCGTGGCCTCCCTCTTTTTCTGGTGCATTAAAAAAAGTCACCTCTTTCTCTCACATCTGGAATTGAACAAACGTTCACGTTAAGAGCGTGGAGGTAAGGGTTCATGCTTCAGGGAGGTAAAATACTGGGTTAACCAAGAAGAAACAGACATGAAAGAACACGAATGAGGAGTCAGGGAAATCGCACTTAGCGCTGAGAACAGAAAGCAGCAGCGGGTGGTTAATCAGCATCCCTTCCCCACTCAAGGACTTCACTTCCACCTTCCAAAACAAGCCAGCATTAAAATGGGTGTGTGTGTGTGTGTGTGTGTGTGTGTGTGTGTGTGTGTGTGTGTGTGTGTGTGTGTGTGTGTGTGAGAGAGAGAGAGAGAGAGAGAGAGAGAGAGAGAGAGAGAGAGAGACCCTGTTCAAGGAAAGTATGAAAAAGACAAAAATAAAAGCACAGCATGCACATCCTAATTATAGTGTGTCCACTAATTAAATATTGGGAGTTTTTTATTTACTTAATGTTAAATGAAAAAAAAAAAACAAATGAACAAACGCACACTGTGACCCCCAACTTGCCAGCCGCTGCATTTGGGGATCAAGATTCTCAAGTACATACCTTTTAGTTGCTCATCTTTAATGACTGCTTCCGTGGCTGCCTAGGGAACCTCCTGGCTGAAGGGAAACTGCAAGTGAGCTCTCACTTCCAGCTTGCAGGCTGACTTCCCATCTTGCTTAACAGTCCGTCTTCCTGAGCTACTGGAGTCAGACATTTGCGCAACCTGATGGCATGGGAGGAAAAAAGTTTGTGAGTGATGACTTACTTTGAATATTCCTAACAAAAATACAAGTTAAAGAAACTAAGTCCTGTTCCCATCAAATTTAGAAAAGAAATGGTTAGTTTCAAAAACCTTACTACCATACCAACACTTGAGATGACTCGGTGGTTAAGAGCATGTTGCTCTTGCAAAGGCCAGAAGTTCAATTCCCAGCACTCACATGGTAGTTCACAAGTAACAGCAGCTCCAGAGATCTGTTACCCTCTTCAACACTCCATGGGCACTAGGCATATATGTGATACACATACACACATACAGACAAAACATTCACATGCAAAAAAAATTATAATTAAATTATAATTAAATAAAATCTAACCCCACCCCAGCTCAGGCTCCCTGCCTTCCTCACACTCCACCTACAAGGTGACCTGCGGTCATTGCTGAATAGGTTACTTTGCTGTACGCCAAGCTGATGGTGTTGATCATGGATTAACACAGTCTAGAGTTGAGCCTAGGCTGAGGCAGCTGTGTAAGAGGTTTGCTCCAATCAGAGTCCATGTGGAAACAGGTTACAGGAGATGTGGCCCACTGGCCTTCAAAGAAAGGGAGAATGATTATCCCAACAAACTAATGGCAGACTCAATACGGCCAGCTGATCCCAAAATTCCAACACTAAGGTTCTGTAGGGTGGGGGTACTATAGGAAGTGTCTCAAGTTGAACTGACAGAGAAGAGCTGCAGCTGTGTAAGTGACAACCTCCACGGGATGGAGTGACCATTTTTCTGGTGGGGGGGACTTTATTCGAGCACAGCTTTCCAATGTACTTGAAGCACGCATTCTGGGACACCTTGCCATTCTCTCAGTTGACTTCCAACTATCGAAGTGAAAGATTATTTATTGAAGCAGGGTCTCACTGTGTAGCTCTGGCTGTCCTGGAACACAGATATCACGCCTCCCGAGTGCTGGGACTAAAGGCATGTGCCACTGTGACTAGCTAAAGTGAAAGACTTTTGACTTCATGTCTTTTCAGTGATGACTAGGCAGAGCATTCTTTCTGTAAGTCCTTACTAAGAATGGACCTTCTTTTAAAAATGATTTATTTCGATTATTTTGAATTATGTATACGTGTATAGGTGTGCACATGTTACTGCAAGTATCCATAGAGGCCAGAAGGTTTCTATCCTTCTGGAGTTAGGGTCACAAGCACTTGTGAGCAAACTGATGTGGGTACTAGGAGTCTAACTTGGGTCTTCTGGACAGCAGTACATGCTCCTAACTGCCAAGTCATCTCTCCACCTCAGAGTGGGTCTTTATATACTGATGAGGGGCCCTTGCACTGCAAAAGTCGAAAACAACAATACATGCTTTAAGCTGAACACGCTCTGAATTTTCTTTCTCAACTGCTAGCAGGGACTTGGACCGCCATGGGCCTCCAATGCAGAAGGACCTCTCCCGGGGATGCCACCAGGGCCTGGCATTTCCCATCACCCTCTGCAACCCTTACCTCTCATCAACTGGCTTTGACTCGTTCTGTTAAACCCAGATCTCTCCTGGTCTTTGTTATTCCTGTGGCCCAGCCCCTATCACAAGGCTCCAGAGGTGGTCGCAGTAACTGTTCCCTGGTCCGGTGTTTGAGAGCTCACTTTCCAGGGAAAGCTGTTATACAGTCCCCTGCAGTTTGGAACACGTCAAATTCACATGGGGCAGCATGTTGTGTGATATTTTGTTTGTATTCTGATAAATAAAGCTTGCCTGGAGGTCAGAAGGGCGGAGCTAGCCACTAGTTAACCATAGAGGTCTGGAGGTCTATACAGACAGGAGACAGGAAGTAGTGAGGCTGGGCGGAGAAAGAAAGGGATAAGGCAGGGCAGAGACAGGATCTCCGCCCTTTTGTGGCCTGGGGATTTGAAGAGGTTAAGTTTCTGGTTCTCACATCTGCTTCTCTGATCTTTCAGCTTTTACCCTGGTATCCGACTCCTGGTTTTTATTGATAAGACTAATTAGGATCATGTTCTAGCTGCTGGCTGTTAAGACTGTTGTTTCCTAACTTCGTTGGCAAAGGCCAAATAAAAACACTTTGTTGTAAGTGGTCACTTTGTGGCTTCACAACTGTCCTGAAGATGCCACAGGGAAAACAGAATTTTAGAGAAGGAAGCAGAAGGCAGGTTACAATTTTAAAGCATCCTACAAAGCTGAATCTTTGTGGCACAAAAATCAGCAATATATTTAGTTTTGAAAATGTCAGGGAAGTTCTGCAGATATTCACACTTGACAATGAAGGATGAAAAAAATCCCTTTTCTATGAATGGCTGTTGGTGTGTACATGGGATGGAAGGACTCCTTAAGAAAGTCTTATACCTCTCTCCAGCTGTTCACCGATGACTTAGATCTCTAGAATTCTCTCAATGAGAACAAGCCTCTCTCTGTGAGGGACTGGAGATGGTGCTGGAGGGTAAGGCCAGAAAGGGCAGGGACTTGGCTTCCCCACAGCAGATGCCAGCTTCCTTCTCAGGTGAGACTTTCCAGTGCCTGCTTTGTGCAAACATGCTTGCAAAGTGGAACAGAGGGAGGCTACTGTATGTTGGGGTTCAGGGGTGGGGTACCTGGTTCCAAAGGGCACGAATTAGGGTGACTGAACAAAGCCAAGTGTCGAGCCTCAGAAGCCATGGCTCTACAAACTCAAGAAATCCCAAAGGTGGTCCACATGGAGGATTTTTTTTTTAACTTTTAAAGTATGCCAATTTCAGTCATCTATTTTATAGTGAGACTTTTCCAATTAGATCTCGGTTGTCATATCAGTATATTTCCCTCAACTGGGTCAACAGTTAACGTTCTGAAGGTTGTCTCCAGGCATTAGAAACTAAGCCATAAGAAGAGATGGCTCAACATTTTAAAAGTACTTGTTGGTCTTGCAGAGGACCTGGGTTCAATTCCCAGCACCACATGGTAGCTCACAACCATCTGTGACTCCAGGTCCAGGGATCCAAAACCTTCTGACTTCTTTGGGCATCAAGAATGCATGTGGTACACATACATACATGCAGAAAACACACTCCTACACATAAACTAAAAAATCAAAAACCACATCGCATCCTAAGTGAGGATGGTGGTCTACAGCGAGGATGGAAGAGGGCACAGTGAAGTGGATAAAAGGCAGGCTTGAGTTGGGATCCTGCATTCAACTTTTTAAAATTGTTGTATTTGCTACATAAAATTTTTTTAGAAAGTTTTGTCTATGTGTGGTATAATATGTGTTATAGGCAATACATATCTAAAGCCCTCATATTAAATGGCCTTTAACCTACTTTATACAGTTTTCTACATTTAACTTGATGTTCAGCCTTTGCCAGTCCATATACTAAGAATGAGTAATATTAAAACAGCAATGGCACACGAACAGCCCTCACTGAATTCAGAAGTAACACAAATGCAGTGCTCCCCTGTATTCTGCACTTACATGACAGAGCCCCTGAGAGTCTGCGTGGGAATCCCCACATGAACCACAGCCACCCTTTAACTGAGAGTGGAACTGAAAGCCAAAAGGATTTCCCCTGCAGTTGATTAAAAACACTCCTCTTGTTTTTAGTTGTCATTCCAAGTGACCATGAACTGAGCAAAAGACTCCTTTCAGAAGTATTTATTCAACCTTTTCCCTCAGTGCTGGATTCTGAAACTGCCTCAAAGTCAAACAACTCTAAACATAGTTCCCAAGGTCAAGGGAGCGCAAACACGAGAGGAACATTAAGTTCCACGGTCCTGAAAAAAGACTTAGCAAGTCCACTCCGACCCAATGTTTACAGCTGTGGATGACACAGAATGGCTCCAAGTGGGGACCCATGAAATAAGTCATTTTGGCAATCACAAAATTCATCACAAGTTCTGAGACAGTATCCTAAAACACATACGAGAACACTATCACTCAGACATTTCCAGAATATTCTGATTATATGCTAAAGTAATACTATTTCAATCTTTTTTGTTTTGTTTTTTGAACAGTTCTGTATAACTGTCCTGGCTGTCCTGGAATTCACCATCCTAGTCTACCAAGATCTACCTGCCTCTGCTTCCCGAGTGCTGGATTAAAGGTGTACGCCACCACTGTCTGGCAATATTTTTTTTCATAAATGTAAATAAGGTTTTGAGTTGATTAAGAAACTAATTAGATAAAAACCAAAAAACTTTTACCCCTTCATGCACCACAGCGACAAGAAGGCCACCAGAGAAAACCTATGAACTCCTACAATCCACTGTGTTTGGGTGGAAGCAGCAGCTGGAGCTGAGGGTGAAATGAACTGCTCCAGTGTCTCTCGTCCATGTAAAACTCACACATCTTTTTTTTCCAAAATTATATTTATTATGTATAATAGCCATAAAAGGGCACCAGATCGTATTATAGATGGTTGTGAGCCACCATGTGGTTGCTGGGAATTGAACTCAGGACTTCTAGAAGAGAAGTCAATGCTCTTAACCTCTGAGCCATCTCTCCAGCCCCCCAAAACTCACAAATCTTAAGAACATTTTTATACTCGAAAATACTTCCACCCATTAATTATAATCAATGTAGTTTGACGTTTACTAGACATAGGAGAAAAATATGAGGCTTTCTTGTGCTAAACTCAGGAGCTATCTGTGTAGTATCTGGGTGGGGCAGCTGATGCAGTTTGCAGATTATGGAGATTTTTAAAATAAAACTAAAATGCAGGCTGATGCTAAATAACACTGCTTCAAAACATTCCCACCTTTACACCAGTTTATTCTTTCACTTCTTACACTTAGGGCTTCCAACATGAAGTCTACACTATAGACATCTGAAATCAGATACACCCCGCCAAAGCAGGTATGATTTCAAATACAGTAATTCATGTATCTATAGGGAAGATAATTACAACTGAGACTACCATCCTTGGTGATTTGCTCCCAATGGTAGAGGGAGAAAAAGAAAACAAATTACAGGAAACTGGCCAACACTGAGCCAAGTGACAAGTGACTATCCATGGTGATGT